CCCTTTCCACAGAAGCATCCACCATGGCCTGTGGGGTACGTCTCTGAGCATGAAATCTGCAGTAGAAACTGGGGCAAACTCTGCTTTGCATCATTGAACTTATGTTTTTCTAAGTGGGTTCACAGAACACTTACCCTTCTGCAACTTTCCCATGGCACTGAATATGCGTCCTAAGTCAGTGCAGTACGGTACACAGCCTAGGACTTCATTCCTTTCACCGTTTCCGGGACGCCCAGCAGTAGTGGCTATTTAAGATGCTTCCTATTTCCTGTTATAGATGATGCAGCAGTGGACTTAGGGGCAGTGGGGAGGGGGATTCTGCACTCCGGGGATGGCCATGTGGAGTTGCTGGGTTGAAATATGGGCCCATTTTGAATTCGCATTGTGACTACTACCCAACCCGCCAAGGGTTTATAAAAGTGGCATGCCTGTCAGCACTGCGTGGGGCAGCTTCTGTCCTCAAACATCCACCGTGACTGAGTGTTATCAGCTGGGGGCTCTGGGACTCCATTCTGGATGGAGAAGCCGTAGACATCAGGTTTGCACACTGAGCGAACCAATTCTGCCCATTTCTTTCTGCTGGACTAGGAAGGACTACATGGGAATACTTGGAAATACAACAGAAAAGAACCCTGAGAATTACCTAGTCTAACACCAAACTCCTGAGCACTGGCCAGTATTAAACTCCCCCCATCTCTGAGCGGCTTAGCTGTCTCTGCTTAGACTCCTCTGGGGAGTTCCTCATCCTGAGAGGCATCATTCTGTCCCTGGTTAGCTCTGCTGGCTAGAGAGGGCTTTCTGGCCACACTGCGGCGACACAGAGTGACAGGTGGTTCTTAGGACAGTGGAGTAAAAATGTCTCCAAAATTCTCTGATACTCCACCCTTCAAAGGGTGGAGCCTCATTTCCCTCCATTTGTATCTGGGGACACTTCTAACAAAGAGAACATGGCAGAAGAGCATCTGTGTGATTTCCAAGGCTGGGGAAAAGTGAGCCGGACCAACACCCCTGCATTCCTAGCCTCTGCAGAAACTTTGAGCAGACACATGGTTATTCTTGTTTTACAGGACCCCAAGGCTGTGTCACTCAATTTTGAAATAGTTTGTTACACAGCTATAGATAACAGATACAGTCACTCACAAGACTGGGATTAAAACAAACAGAATAAAACCAGACACAAAAAAATTCAATCTTGGAAAACAAGAAAATGTCATGTACTTCATTTAGCTTCCCTTTCAAAGCATAAAGTGCAGCCACTGACAGAAATTGGGAGGAGAAGTGGGAAGTCTGGATAAGAGCCCACGGACATCACGTGTTTCTCCGTGGGGGCAGGCACCATGTTTGCAGGGCTATAGGAGGGTAGCTGGGTGGGAAGTTGGGAGGGCAAATGAAATCTGCAGAGAAGACCTCTTTGGTGAGGGCATCGGATCAGAGGGGCCCACAGTCACCCTGCCTTTGGGGTCTGCGCCTGAGGACCACAGAGAGCCTTCTTTGCATCCCTAAGTGCAGCCAGGACCAAAGTCCCAACATAGCTCTGCCACCAACCTGACCTGTTCCCTCAGGCAAGTCTCACCCTTTCTCTGGTCCTCAGTCTCCCCATCTGTAAAAGGAGGCTGGCTCAGATATTTTCTCAGTGTCCTACAGTCCCCGCTCAGCGCCCCTTTCTTCCTACGCACACTGGGTGTCAGGGCAACTTGAGGGGCAACAGAACATTGCCTGGAGATAGAGGCGAGCAGAGTAAACAAATAGCCCAGAATCCCAGTTCCCAATCCCAGCCGGTGGCCAAGCTAGCCTGCCAGGCTCCATGTCACCCCGGGTAGAACTCCCCAAATCCCTTTCTTTGGCCGTATAAGGAGAAAGGAGACAGAGTCTCCCTGACACAGGTTACAAGCACAAGCACTGAGGCAAAAGTGCTGGCCTCCAAAGACCTCAGTGACTAACCAAGCACGAGGAATAAATCAAACGCCACTCACCACCTCTTCTTGGTCCCACTCCACCCTCACCCCAGCCCAGGGCTGGGGCACCAAAGGGAGGCAGGTCTGCCAGGCCTCCAGACGGACACAGTAAGAGGCCTGAGCTGGGTCAGGAGGATGCCCCATTTAGATCCAGGCCAACCCCAATCTGATGAAGACTGCAGTGAAGCAGGCACACTCCCCATGAGCTGGCCTTACCCTGGTGACCCTGGTGACCACAGCGCCCCACAGTCTCCCAGATCCTGGCGTTTCCTCCCCACCCCAACCCTCTTCCAGCCAGCCAGGGACCAGCGCACAGCCCACTCTCCCTCAACCTACCCACTCAGAGCTCTTTGCGCTCCCAGGCCCCTGTCTGGTTTTCCTCTAGGGGAAGCCAGAGTCTTGCTTAGAGGGGCACTATGGCCTCCCTCACCTTCTCTTCTTTCCCTGCACCAGGATGCTATGGTTTCACTGAGGTCTTTACCTCCATTGTTGCCTCCCCCAAGAAGCCCTTCTTGATCCCTATTGCTGACTGAGGGAGCTACGGACCTCACTGTCCGCCGTCTGTGGCTTGCTGGAGTACCCGGTACAATGCCCTTCTCTGCACTGGCTTTTCCACTCAGACAGTGTGGGATTCTTGGAGGGCACAGCTGGAGTCTCACTCACATACCGAGCTCAGCACAGCCAGGCCAAAGGGACAAATGAGAAAAGCCACGCCAGGCCACAGAAAATAATTGCTTCAGAAACTCAGGCACTCTGTCTGCCAAGGAGTTTACATCCATTACTTCCTTAGAGGTAGCTTATTCTCATTTTAAAAGTGGGGAAACTGAGCCACAGAGAAATGAATGCACCAGGCGATCAGTCAGGGGGAGATCAGCACTGGCTCTGCTGTGGGCTCTGGGGGGACAGTGACAATGAGTAAGACGGGCAGCTGTCAGCTCCTACCCCAAGGACCCAAGGTGAGGGCTGAAGTCATCTCTGGCTAACTTCTGCCTGGGAGTCAGGTTTCAGCTGACTCTGGGTAGACCCTGATTCCTGCACGGCCAAACCCTGGAGTCACATGAGTCACCAGCCCAGGATTGGTCCAGGGCTGCTGCCAGCCCTGCTACATGCCTTTGTTCCATCTGCTCTGGGGGCAGCAGAGTCAGCAGTGACCCGGGGAGAGGCAAAAGGGCAGGGGTAGGAGGGGCTGGAGCCACTGGCAGGCAGGAGATGCAAGGGGTTCAGTGCCGCAAGTTCACACAACCCGGGTGCTGTTGGCCCATGTGGCCTCTTAATGTGAGCTGGGAAAATGTGCCCTCTCAGGGTGAACAAAGCCCCACACTGAGGCACACAGCTTGGAAAGTAAATTGTGCGTTGCATTTCCCTCTGCTACCTCATTGTGCAATGAACAATATGCACAACCATTCAGGGCAACCTCGCTTACAAAGCAGCCCTGCGGGGCCAGGTCCAGAGTTGGACAATGGGATATGGAGATAACTCAGCCATAGCACAGGAAGCCGCAGCGCTAGGGGAACATGAAGGAGGAAGCACCTCACTCTCTCAGGGTAGAGGTTGGAGGAGCTGTGAAGGTTACAGGAGTAGGCAGTGGTCCATGGTTTCACCCTTTCCCCGAAGTCTGCTATGTAATGTTTGCCAGTTTTCACAAGGCAAATATTCCCACCTACCAGAGTGATTTCAAGGTGTAAATATGCACCATCACTGCACACAGAAGCTGGAGATACAGGCACATCAATCATCACAAGTTGGTTCCAACTACTCCAGAATACCACTGGGAAAAGGAGGCTTCCACTGAACCCCAAGGAAAAGCAGTTTTCTCCAGGCAGGAGGAGGACAGGGACAGGGAGGATGTTCTAGGAGGCCAATGGCATGGAGGGAGGAACAGGAGCAGGAGCAAGCTGTGGAGAGTTTCAAGGCTTATAATTGGCAAGAGGCAGTCAAAGCCTTCTGGAGGTTGATGGGGTTTAATTCTTGATGTGGATGCAGTTCACACGCCTGCTGTGATTTGCTAAGCTACACATTTACAGTTTATGCACTCTTCTGCCCAGTTGCCATGTTTTACAATAAAAAGTTTAAGATTACTGATAATCTCACTCAGAGGCGACCACTGTTTGTAATTTTATATTTCCTTACAACCTTTTTTTTGTATAGTTATGCAACTATATAGCCAAAAGTTTCACATCCTAGGTTCCCTACCCAGAAGGAAGAAAAAAACATTTTAATACTGGAAGCAACATGTGGTAATGGGAGGAGTGTGGGTTTTGGAGTTCAAGACACCTGGATTTAAATCTTGCTTCTCAAGTGCTAAATCTGTGACCCTGAGAAAGTTGCTTGTCTCATCTTCTGTGGATGGCTGAGACTGATCATCCCCACATCCCGCAGTGCCATCGCGAGACTAAAAATGATGGCTTCAAGGGAAGCAACACAGAGCTGGTCCACAGCAGACTCTCAGTCATGTCACATACAAGTCACTGTCATAGGCCACTGTACTGAAAGTATTACACAAAGATAAATGACTGAGTCACAGTAACCAGAGAGACAGTAACTCCAGGCAGTAACACATAAAGGCAAATGAATTTGACCACAGTAACCTCAGTGGCAAGCAGATTCTAAAGCTCCTTTGACTGATGATCATTGAAGAAAATGGGGACAGCCTGGAAGACTGGCATCCAGGAGTTTATGAGATGTTCTGGGGGAAGCAGGAAACAAAACTATGACAAACAAACAGGACTTACAAAGGGAGCTGATTTGCACTGGGCTTAAGGGATGATATTTTCACAGCTTGAGAGTGAAGCAGTGATGTCAATAAGGAGTAAGCTCCCCGTCACTAGGGAGCACAAGAAGAAGCCAGTAGAGCAGTGGTGGAATAAGGAGAAAAGGAGGCCGCAGGGTGGGGTGTGAACTGGATGATGCTGGCGGTCCCTGATGGCTGGGCTCTGGTGCTTCTAGAATCTATGCTGTCCAGATTCTGTCCAGCAGTAAGATGGGCAGGAGCAGGATGCAGTACAGGACATAGTAAAGGACGTGAGGTCACCTGACCCATTTTACCTGGTTGTCAATTTTCAGTTCCACCAGAGATGTGTTGTGTGGAAGGGCTTCCACCAGGCGCAGGATCCCAGTCCCAGAGATGAAGTTGGATTCCACATTCAGCGTCTTTAACACCTTGTTCACCTTGAGCATTTCAGCAAGAGCCTTAGGCAGAGAAGAAAAGTGGGGATGCCTGTGAGTCTCCCCGGGAAAGATCGTGAGCCTCCCGGGTAGATCCACAAATGCCAGTGGGGAGAGGCAAAGTGATTTCCGGAACCTCCTTCCCCTCAATGCACCCCAGTGCCTGAACAGCCCCTCTGGAGGTCTACACTGCCTCGCCCCGCATCACCTTCCATGGTGCCCCAGTGAGGCTGCTCGCAGTCCCTGCTGGACATCTGTGTTCTCCCACTGCTTTCCCTTCTCCCACTGCGTCCAGGCCTCTGCAACACCCTTCGTGCTCACTCTCAGAACCTGCCCATCGGTGTCATTCTCAACACCCCTCCTCCGAGAGCTTTGGATGACACCCTCAGCCAGCTGAGGCTGCTCCTGAACCTTACAGAATTTATCTGTAACTGTCTCGGGAACTTGCATTCCTTGCTTCAGTTTTGTTTTTAGTTTGGCATTGGGCATCAAAACCAGGGTCTCTGCCTTGAACTGTATCTTCAGCCCTTTTTATTTTTTATTTTGAGAAGGTCTCTCTAAATTGCCCAGGCTGGCCTTGAATTTGTGATCATTCTGCCGCTTCTAAATTAGCTGAAATTACAGGTGTGCACTACCACATCTGGCCACAGTTGCTTTTATGAATGTGTCTTTCCGTTAGACTATTCTCCATGATGGACTGAAAGTCACCTTATTATCCCATGTTGCCATAGGACACAGTCAGTCCTCAGGCAGTGCTCACTGAATGACTAGCAGAGTCTCAACTCTTCTGTGCACGCTGGGCTCAATCTCTCCTGCTGTCCTGCTGAAGAGCCACAGAGTCACCGTTTTCTTCGTTTGAGCACCAGCAAGAAGAGGTGCTGGGAAACAACCCCACTCAGCAAATGACCAGGGCCAGCTGGAAGAGGAGGGCTTAGGTGGCCCTCAGCACGTTTCAGAGGGATTCAGCCAGGAGGTAGAGATGACAATCTGAGCCTCTGACAGAAATGAGGTAATTAGCAGTTGGTGGAAACAATGTGTCATGCGGAAAGAAGACACCAGCAGCTGAGTGGCCAAGGACAGGGATAGGTGGGCCCCGTTGTCTGAAGTGACTGAGCCAGCAGCGTCTGCTGTATTGTGTTGGCCCTGTGTGCTGAAACTGGGGAAGGCCTGACACCCTGGAGCCTTCCACACACCAAAGTTATCACCCCTCCTGGGCTGCAGTGTGCCCTGATGGTGTTTCAGCTTGCCTTCTGACCGACCACACTCGGGTCTGGCAGTCCAGCAAATGCAAGAGGTCCTTTCCTGCAACATGCTGACTTCTGGCATGGCAGACATAGAGGAGAGCATAGGGCAGGCAGTGGGTGCACTTTTGGGCTTGAAAGTGGGTTTTGCATCTGGCCCAGAAGCTCTGTATTTGGCACTGTATATGCAGGTATGAATGGGTTCACAACAGCCATCGGGCTGGCGCGGAATCCCGACCAAAACATTTGTGGCACTGAGCTGAATGCCAGCATGAATGTTCCTTTTTCTGATCTATCGCTTAGCAGTAGATGGAGCACGTAGTTTTGTCACCCTTGGCAAACCCAGGGGGCACTGAAGTTAGGGGTCATCAGTCCAGAGGCTCCTGCTAGCAGCAATGGGAGATTGCTCACTTCAAAAATATTGGAGAAAATTCTATTGCTTCAAAAATATTGAATAAAATTGTCTTAACTATTTTAAAAATTAGAAAAGAATTTTCAGATTGCTTCTAGATGGTTAATCACTGTCCCTGGTAAGCTAATTCCTGTACTTTTTATCTGTTTCTAGTGTCCTAGTAATTACACTGTGCTGTTTTCATAGGTGTCCAGTGTCCAGTGTATTCATGAGTGTGGGAGCTAAGACTGGTTACAGATGGATTCTCAGAGCCTGCTGGGCCCAGAGTCTCTCAATAAATGTTTCTGATTATTTTTAAGAAGAATTAATCGTTACTTTACACTCAGTACAACCGAATTTGATTGTCAGTATCTGTTAAGACATGAGTAAAAATAAAATCATATAAAACTGGTCACTGAAACTGTTGATGAAGACAATGATTTTAGAGACGGAGAAAATGAGGCTTAGGAGCCTTTTCCAAAGGCGAGTTACTGAGTAGAGAGTGATTGGACCGTATGGGTCATGTGATTTCATTTGAATGCCAGGTCTGCTTCTTACTCGCTGTGTGACTTTGGACCAAGCAAATTGCCTGATCTTTCTGAACTCTGGTTCTTCATGCAGAGTAGGGAGACCCCACCACCACCACGGGAGCAGGGCGCAGTGAGCATTAGCAGGATGATGACAGGCAGGGCTGGGTGACGACTGTGCATTTACATCCCTTCCTGGCTCCAGCCTGGTCCACACCACACTGAGCTCTGCAATAGTGGACATGGCCATTCCTGAGGCCACATGCCCAACCTATCTGTATCCAGCCCCCCACTGTCCACACAGCAGAACAGAGATTACATACAAATGCCACAGGGTCATTGCTCCGTGTCCCAACGATGCTGAATTTCTTCACATAGGAATTTTCTTTCAGGGCTTCTGCATATGCCTTAAGGGTAGGGATGGGGATATTCTGCAGAAAGAAAGGAGCAAAGTAACCAGCAGTACCTGCCAGAGACAGAGGGGTCCTTGGGGGAGCCTGGCTCCTCCCCAAGTCTAACAAGTTTCTGGCCAAAAGACTGAATGACCTTTATCCCCGATGGCTAAGATACAGAAAGAACTTTGTAGTACACAGACAGAAAAACGACACCTGAAATGTTATATAGGACCCACAGCTCTCTTCTGTGCATGTGGAGGACAAAAAGAGAGGCACAAGTCAAGGCATAGGGATAGGAAGGGTGTTGTACAAAGGGCTCTGGATTGGGTGTAGAGGTGGGGCTGGACCCTGGCCTCTACTTCAGCCACTAGCAAGGTGTCTCTATCACTGTGTGACTCTGGAGAACGCTCATTCTCTCTCTGTACCCATTTCTAGAAAACAGGATGGGAGTTTCAGTAGATACCAGGAGACATCAAGGCTGAGGCTCTGTCCTGGCTGCGCATCAGCAGATCCTGGAGAATGTATGTACCATGCTGGGGCTCTGGCCTGTCCCAGACAACACAACCACCAGTCTCTGGAGCAGGCCTGGGCATTGGTACATGCGCTTTCTTCCCCTCAAGTGAAATCCACCGATCCGAACCAACTGCCTCATGGTACAGGAAGAAATTGGCCAAGGCCTCAGAGAGTGGTTCAAGGCCAGAACGCACAATTCTGAACTGTGCCAGCATCTCCCTTGGGCCCACAGCAGACAACTGAGGCACAGAGAGAGGACTTGGCTATGTTTTTGCCAAGCTCACATTTCAGAGTGTCACTTAAACTCCCGAGGGAGCAGAGCCTGGGAACCAGGTGGAGGAGAACACTGGGGCCCAGGGTTCCAATCTGATTGTGCCTCGGTACTGGCAGCCACTGAAAGGAAAACGAAGAAGAAAGGAAAGAGGAGAGGAGCCAGGGGCTGGCATCTTGTCTTACTCCCCTCACCCTCCCAGAACTAATCCCGTGGCCTTGGGCTGAGCAGGTGGACGGGCAGCTGCTCCTGCCCCCAAATTCCTCCTGCAGCCTGTCCGGGGTTGCAGGCGGCTGACCGTCATCTACCAGTCCCTCCTTCGCCAGGTTGTTCACACAGGGAAATGTCACAGAGATGTGGACAGACAGCCCAGCTATTTCTTTGGACCTCTGGGTCAACGGCTCTGTGGCTGTAACGTGAGGTTGAATGTGAACATGGTCCAGCAGCTGCACTGATGATTCAGGGCAGGGCCTGCCCAGGGGATGGTGACCACACAAGCCTGGTGGGTACTGGGCTCTTCGGCCTCGAGATCCCATGCTGCTGCATGGGTCTGACTCACACTTTTATCTCAGAGAATCTTTGTGTTTTGAATAACATGGCAGGTTTCCAGATCAGAGCCGGTCCAGCCCGTGGTGAACATCTGGCCTGAAGTCATCCTCCAAAAGAAAGCAGGACTGTGGGATGCGCTTGTTTACTCTGTCCAGCATCCCCTGCCTGAAAACTTCTGTCTGTAAAAATTTCCATCTATTTCTGGGTCAGAAACAAAACAAGACCTTGCTGCTCTGCACAGCCGGGGCCACTGGCAGCTGGGTGACATGGACATGCCACCTCCTCATACACACAGGTGAAGCGAAATAAAGGGACTTTACCCGGATATTATTGAGGTTAACTTCTTCAAGATCCGGGTCATTGTTCTTTATCCTCTCCAGTGTTTCCTCTACATCTGTTGAATTTGGTTCTTCGTCAGGCACAGGCTTGTACTGTGTAGGTTTAATCACACCTAGGGTGATTAACAAGATACAAGAACATTTTGAAAGGAAGTGCAAGCAGAGTTCAGGTCCTGGGAAGGCTTCATGTTGAAAAGTTACACTGGGTGTCATGCATCAGAGGAAGCCCAGCAAGGGAGCCAGGAGATTTGGCAGCTGCCTTTGTCTTCCTGTAAACTTAAACTTCCTGAATTTCTTAAACTCTCTGAACCTCGAGCTCTCGCCTATAAGGTAAGGATACTCATTCTGCCTGTGCGTACTATTTCAGTGGGTTCTTGTGAAGATAAGGTGAACCCCCAGGTGGGAAAGAAATGCATATATCTTCCAACAGGAAGGACAGTTCCTATTTGGGCCCACTTGTCTCTCTTTGGGGCCAGAATGGCAGCTTGGAACAATGCTTTGGCATAAAGACAATGTGATAGGGACCCAAGAAAAATTGAAGGGAGTTTGGAACAGTAGAACAGAAGAAGAATGCACAGACTGATGGGAAAGGAGGCAATCTAGGCCAGTGGTAAAAGAATACATGTACCAAAAATGGTGTGGGACAACTATCTATTTAAAAAATGGAATTTATTCTTATCCCACAGCACACACAAACATGGACTCCAGTGGATTAAGAAACGGAATAGATGAAGTAAACCTCTAAATGTTTTAGAAGAAAATACAGAATTATGATGCTGGCATGAAGAAGATAAACAAAATACAAAATTCCAAAAGACTCAAAGGGAAAAATGGACATATTTGGTTACATAAAATTTTAGAACTCCTGTAATGGGCCAGTACATCAGCAAGCAGAGAAATAAGACACAAGAGGGTGAGCCTGTCTTCCAGGGTACCCTTGGGGCCTGGCAAAGGGTGGGGCTGCCAGGAGGCCGGGGCCTGGTACTCACTGTTGAGTCCCTCCTTGTTCACGATAGAGCTGCTGCCCAAGGCCTGGTAGTACTGCTGGTTGCTCATGAGCGTGTGCATGCCCAGAATAGCTGTGGGGACAAAAGAAGGCTAATGACACTCTGCTCTTGAAGACAGAGATGTCTTCTGGGGACCCACCTTCCACATCCCAAGAACTCTGCTCACAGAAATGGTAAGAAGCACTAACATGAATACTTTCATATGTGGGACTGTTCTTACTCTCCATCTCCATCCATTCTGGACTTCTCTCGGGTCTGACCTCACACTCCCAGGTCCCCCTGAGGTCCCACAGGGCTCAACAGAAGAAATCTTTCCCATCAGGGGCTTGATACTAGAGCCCCCTTTCCCGCTAGGCACCCTCTCCCAAGCTGTTCAGCCTCCTCAGGTCTCTCACATTGGCCCACCTCCTGTGACACCGCCTCTGTCTTGGTTGAGGTCCTCTAATTTCTTGGCTATCCAGATGCTTCCTGACTTTCAATGTTTCTACTTATTTTTGACTATATGGCAAGGTGCAAGTGATATGCATTCAGTAGAAACAACACTCTGAATTCTGCTGTTTTCCCCAGCTAGCTGTATTCAGCAACAGACTCTTCTGAGATGCTGGACGGTGGTAGAGAGCCATAGCTCCCAGTCAACCCCACAATCATGAGGAAATATAAACTCTACAGTGTACTGTGCTCCTGAGCCTCAGTGTTTGGAAGGCTAGGATGTGAAATGAATTTGGACTTACAATATTTTCAACTTACAATGGGCTTATTAGGAAGCCACTGCATTGTCAGCCAATGACTATCTGTATTATTACAGTTTTGGAGTAACTGGTGTCCGAGCTTCCATCTCTTCTCACCTTCTACCTCCCAAAGTTCAGCACAGAGTAACAACAAAGACCTTTCTGGAAATGCCAACATGGCCTCACCATCCCATGTTCAGTCATTCTTTCATCCTTTCATTTATTGAGGGTCCCCAGTGCATGTGTGGATATGGAGAAAGGGGCCCAGAGGAGAAAGAAAGGCAGGGTCTTTGCTCATGCAGTCTGCCGGGGAGAGAAGGGTGCTAAGCAAGTGCCCACACCATTAGAAACATAAGGACGAGGTACGGTAGTGCTGGAAAGGAAAGTTCAATGTACCTGGCTGGGAGAAACAGAAGAGGCACTGTACTTTGGAGAGAAGGGTGACTAGCCAAAAGAAGTGAGCTAGGCATGGCAGGTAGGGAGGCCTAGAGATGGGTGGGTAAGGTTACAGGTTGCAGGCCGTTCATATCAGAAGACAAGAGATGGATATGTGGTGATATTAGGGGTGGTCACAATACCCCCTAGTCCTGGAATGCATTCTCTGAGCCAGGAAAGAAGATTTAGATCAGTGATTCTCAATTTGGCTGCACAGGAAACATTTGGGCATCTTTTGAAACTCCTCATGTGCAAGCCTGCCCTGGACCAATTAACCTAAAGTCTCTGGGGTTGAGGTGTAGGTATCTGCATTTTCTAAAGCTCCTCAGGGAGTGTCAATGGGCAGCTGAGGCCAAGAACCACTGCCTCACATTCCCTTCCTTAATCTGCACCCTCCAGATTGCACCAATGGGCAAGGTCGAATCCTAGTCTCCTGGGATGAAACGAGGAGCTCTGATCTTTTCCTAGGTATGGCCTGCGAAGCCACGGGACGTTTGAGCAGGGAGTGAGGAGCCCTGAGTTCTGGCTGTGTTTGGAGAACTCAATGTGGAGGGACGTAGGCTTGGGAACCATGAGGCCATTATAGCTGTCCTGATGGGAGGATGATGGCCAGGTTCAAACCCCAGAGCCTCGCTTCACTCACCCTCCCTGTTTCAGAAGCCTTGACTCTCACCCATATGGCTCCTGCCCTGGCTACACAAACCACCAGTGCCCAGAGACTTCCCTACCTGTGCCAGTGCTGTCCCTTCTGGGGCTGATTTCCCATTACCCAGTGAAACTGGAATTTCAGATAGACCACTAAAGATAGTACAAGTATACCCCACTCAATATTTAAAGTTTTTTATTGTTTACCTAAAATTCAAATTCAACTAGATATCCTGCATTTTATTTAACCAGTCTAATCATCCTTCCTTTAAGACTTGGGAGTAACTCTCCCTTCTCCAGGGAGCCTTCCTGGCTTCTTCCTTGTTCCTCACCATTTCTCCCACAGCCTGGTGCTCTTATCAGAGCACAGGGTGCTCAGTGTTAGAGACATCTAGAGACATGCACACTTCCTCTGTTGGGCTGTGGGCTTCCAGATGTCAGAGAAGAATATTATTTCTCTCTCTTCTACCTCTTCCAGAAAACAAATACGTATTTGATAAATATTTGGTGAAAGCTTTTTAAAGTCCCCAAACCATTACATTAAGTATTTCACTAGGTATTGGTTAGAGAAATAACACAAGAGCTCTCATGAAGAACCTGAAGACCCAAGTCTCAGTCCTCACTATGTCCCAATGTGATCTTGGGTGGGTCCTCTCTTCCCTTTGGGCTTCAACCTCCTTGGTCCTACTGGGAGTAAGATAAAACCAGTGACCCTCAATCATGGTCACCTATGCAAATCACAGAGGGCGCCTGCTCTACGCTGGATTAGTCCTGGAAAATCTCTGGAGAGATGATTTTTATTTCCATGGATGATTCTGATGATCCATGTTAGCGGAGAACCACAAGATAAAATGATCTCCAAGTCTTTGCTGCTTCTCACATCTCGAGAGTCTTTGCTAAAATTAGGCTTGCCTGTTCATCACCACAGAGGACTCGTAGGGAGAGAGGCATCTGCAGCTTTTCGAGCTCTCCAGGTTTTAATTTAGTCTGCGTGGACGTGGGCAGCCAGAACTGAGGCCTGAGTCAGCGGCAGGTGAGTCAGATCATCAAGTCACCTTCCGGAGCTGGCAGCCCCGGCTCCCACACACAGCAGCTCGTGGAGGTTCTGGGCGGCCGGGTTTTCAGGTTTGGAAACAGAATTTGGAAAGGTTGCTTGGAATCATGTGAAAGATGTAACCTCATATGACTGTTGATCTCACTTGAATATAGCAAGACACACAACTATTTCTCATGTCTTCATCCTGTTTGATGTTTTTACAATAAATATTTAAGGCAAGTGCTCAAACTCATTTGCTAGGGAAATGATTTATGAAACCTTTCAGAAAAGACCCTCCTGACTTCTAAGTTAGTATTCTATCACCAGGTGACTAGTAGTTCTATAGTTCTAACGTGTCCTCTCAACTTGGGAATTCTAAGGACAAATTAAATACATTTTTGGAGGTAATACATATATCAATAGCAGGCCTAAGAAGGAATAAAACCATTTGGCAGCTCAGAGGAAGTTAGGGCTCTCGAAAGGAAGGAAGGAAGGAAGAAAGGAAGGAAGGAAGGAAGGAAGGAGGGAGAAAAGAGGGAAGGAGGGAGGGAAGGTGGGGCTGAGTTTAGCTACCATGTTTGAGCACAGTGTGCTTGGTGTGTCTGAGGTTAGCATCACCTTTGGACTGCTCTAGGCACAAAATTGTGACCTCACTTAGTTCTGCGTGTTACACACACTACACCACGAGTGAGCAATGGAAGAAAACAGCACAGCCACAATGCCTGCTGCTTCTTTCTTTGTACACATTGGCAGGGCTGAATTTAGCACTGAAGAACTTGATTTTAAAAAAAAAGTCTAGATCTTCCCCAAAACTCAAAAAGGACTATTTTTGAACTCTGAAAAAGAACATTGAGTTCTGCTTCCTTTCTCTGCCTTGGCAGGGCTCCCTCCGTTTGTAATTCCACTCGGGACGCAGGCTGATAACAGAACGTATCTCCAGCTTCTGCAGCTGCCCAAGGCTTGGGACGGCACTGGGCAGATGGCCGCTAGGTGTGTTCCCACACCCTGGGGCAGGTGCGAGAAGCTGGCTGCAGCCCAGGAATCGGGTGCCAGGGAACTGTTCCTGGATAAGCTGCACCCTGACAGCTGTGGAATGGGAGGAGGTCAGGTGTCAAAGGGCATGGAAGTAATCAGGACTTAGGGTTTGTCTGCCTGCCTAGGACTGCTTCTGAAAGTTAAGAGCTGGCACTAGCCCATTGCCCTAGGGGGTGGGTGGCCTGGGGGTACCTCTTGAAAGGGCGAGTCTTCCCATTCCACTTCCTTGTTGGCCCCTGCCTCACTGGAGAGGTCCTTAAATGTCAGCCAGGATTGCAACCTATTTGGGCACAGGCACTGAAAATCCCAAGTACTTACAGCTGAGTCTCAGTGGCCCCTAAGCTACAGCCCACAGCGCGAGCCAAGATTGTTAGGTTTCTATGAACTATGCTCAGTACCTTGCGGGAGCCTTTTAATTTTGAAATCTAGGTGCCTCTGTTGTGTCCTTTCTATCACCTCCTGGACCCCTAAGGGCAGAGACTAGATCTGTGTCCTAGCATACAGCAGGAATTCCATAATGTCCATTACTCAGTGAGTGAATGAACGCTTGCATAAATGATTACTTAAGTCAGTGTGGCACACTTGCCAGCGTCTTCCTCCAGGTTTCTACTGTCACCAGACATCAAGCCTGCTGTACACAGCAGCAAAGCAGCTCAGAAGGACCTGCCTTGCTTAGCCTGAGCAGAGCCACCATCCTGCACTGCCCCATCCTGGACCCTTCTCCCCGAGTTTTCTCTAGCTCACCTCTACCTTAGGTCCCACTTCCTTTCTCTTCCCTCACCTCCCCCATCTCTTCCTCTTACACCCCATTCTTTTTCTTTCATTTGTCATTTCATATTTGCCTAGATGTGTTCAATCTGAGGGCAGGAATCAGGCTGTGGTTTTAGGATCCTTTCACCAGGGCCTAGTATAGAACCTGGCACTCAGTGTGCAGGAAGCCTTGAGTAAAGCCCAGATTATGTGCAGGAGAGACCAGTGAAGGCTGAGTTGATGGCAACGCCTTTCCTGGGACTGAGCAAGTAGACTCCAGATGATCTGGAGACCCCTGGCCTCCTTTCCCACTTTTCCTTCTCTGAGGGCCACAGACATCCCCTCTTTGAGAAAGGTCCCAAAGCCTCATCACCATTCTTTGGTGAGTTTTCCACCCCCAGTTCCTTTGATAACATTTCTAGCCACCAAGTCATGTGGAGATATTAAAGTTACCCATGCAGGGCCACTCTCCTTCAAACCCCCAGCTGTATATACTAACACACAAGGCCACAGAGCCTGGCATCCAGGCCCTTTGACAGAAGACCTAGCCTTAGGACCTGGCTGATCTCTTGTAAAATGGGAACAATAATGAATGGAATTCACCCTATAGGACTGTTGTGGTCATTTAGTGCAACAGGTTCTGAGAACAACTCACAGGACACGTGGGTCACGACTGGTGCTCAACTGATGTTCCCTGATTCCTTCCCCAGAGGCACTGCAACCTTTCAATGGCTGCTATCAAAGAATAGCTGTCCAGCAACAGCCTGTTAACACTGGGGCACATTCAGCACCTGACTCCTTCCCAGACATCATGAGGACATGGTAGCATGGGCAGATAATAACAACCAGGACAAATTAAATACAACAACCAGCTTGCCAACCAAAATGGAGAGAAATGATTTCAGAAAAGCAATGCAGAACCTAAGCTCAGTGTCACAGTTCTGTTTTGGCTCAGAGGCTGGCAGGAGCCATGGTTCTGACAGCAGTCAGTTAATAATCCCCGGAGCTGCCTAATGAAGCCAGTGAGGTCATGTAGGGTCATGCAAGAGAAAGCGCAGGATGCAAACAGCTCCATAGTGAGTCGATGTGAAGACGTGGGATGGGCGGATTGGGCTTTCTTGCTACATAAATTAACCTGAAGTCAAGGGGCCCCTCATCGATGGCTGTGTTTGTGGAACTAGATGAAAACAGAAGCCCTCATGTGACTCACGTGGCTCCTGACAAAGCACATCCTTAGCTGTAAAGCAAACTGGCCTCCCGAGTTTGGTGCTCAGACCCACATGGGCGAGGTAGGCACCAGCTCTGTGCTTCAGGGGAGAAATAGAAACCTTCCTTCCACAGCCTCTGCTGCAGCCCTTCATCCTTCCCCACACTCATGTCTCCTTTGTGGATGTGGGCTACACGCTTGCTCTTCCTGTCCACTCCTTGGGTTCCTATTTGCTATGGCCACCACTGTATGAGGCCACTCTTGGCATATAGTTGGTCATTGCCCCCCCCCCTTACCCCACGACAGATGAGTGCCATCTCCCTGTCCTAAACACCACTGGGGTCACACATAGGTCCCATGAGAGGCCAGCAGGCCAGCGGACACAATGAGACAGAGACAGCTGCAGCCTGCCTGGGCTCTGGCTCAGTACCTCCGTCTCCCAATCAACCTGATATTCTTGCTCTGCCTCCTGAGTTCCGGATCAGGTCTGCCTATCTTGATTTCTCTTTGGTGAACTGGCCACTCAGTGGCTAACTGGCCACCATGCTAGGTTTGCTCCTTTTCCACGACTTGCCCTCCATGAAAGATTCCTACCCTAGCCTGGCATGGGCCCTTCAGAGCCAGGTCCCAGAATGCAGTCTTCCCCCAGCATAGTGCATGCCCAGGTCTCCATCTTGAACTCTAGGCCTTCATACTCCACATGGCACCTCAAACATCAAAGGCCTAAAATCAGTCCTGGGGAGGAGGATCTTAGGGCCACAAGTGGCTCTGTGGGAGGTGGGCTTGGATGCTTTTACCTTTATTTTCCTCAGTTTGGTGCTCAGAGTGAATTTTTATCTTAGCACTGTCAGTCTCTTGCTAGAAATAGGTTATGCATATCCTACCAACCAAACACGCTTCCCCACAGATGTGGGTCAAACCTCTGGAAGAAGCTTCTGGAAACTTCTGGAATGCCTCTTACCTGCAATGTCACAGAGTTCTGCATCTGAGGCATTTGCCAAGGCCTCCTCCAGCTCCGGCTCTAGTGTGACAGTTTCCAGCACTGGATCCATCGGCTTCTGTTTAGGGACCCAGATCTTTCCTGTAAACACATGGGGCCTATCAGGGCTTGCAACTATGATAAGAAGCCCCTGAAAATGGACCACAGCAGGGTCCTCTCTGTGGACAGTCCCTCTGGGGACCCACTTTCCCTCAGAATGGGAATCACAGCTCTAAATAGCACCCCAAAACCTGAGAGTGATTTTATAATCTGGCCTAAATATATACCTATCTACCAGAAACAATGGCCAACCTCTGGGTAGGGAAAAATCCAAGGGGGAAAAGTAATAGAATGTCAGGATCTAGGGTACCTTGGCTGAGAGTTCTAATGCAGGAGAAAAACTTGTAAACATTTCTAGCTAAAATAAATAAAATATACTCAGATTATTAAAAGACAAAAAAAAAAAAACCCAAAAATGTTTTCTTGTCTCATGGGATACTATTTTTAAAGTGTCAGCTCATAAGAGAATGAGGGAGTAAGTGGCAGGCGTGTCCACCAGGATAGGCTGCTGAAGAAGTTGTGATGTAGCCCCCTCCCCACGGGACTCCAGCAGGTATTTCCTAAGAGGGAAAATGCCCAAGGTCAAGGCTGTGTGAAAAAGCACATTTACAAAACACCATGAACAATTTCATCCCATTTATGAGAAAGTGAAGGTGTGCTGTGGTTTGTCTGTTGTTCCTGAGAGCTTACGTGTAGAAACTGAATTGCTAGATTCACATGTTAGTGGTAGGTGGGGATGGGACCTTGGGGAAGTAATCGAGATTAAATAAAGTCATAACAGTGTGGTCCACCAGACAGCATTAGTGACTTAAAAGAAGCCGAAGAGATGCGTGTTAAGTGCTACTTATGTGCCAGGCCCTAAGATCAGGGACAAGACAGAATGCCCATGTTTACTGCTGCTACCCACGCTGCACTGTGGGTTCCAGTCAAAGTAAATAGATAAGAAAAAGGAATAGAGGGGAAAGAAGGAAAATTATTTCTGTTTGCAAGTGATATGCTCTTATATGGACACAACTGAATTTCTACATAGAAAAAAATCTGTTAGAACTAATAAATGCAGCTATTTTTCAGGGTTTAAGATCAACATACAAAAATAAACCATGTTTCTGTATACCAGCAATGAATAATCTGAAAAGGAAATCAGGAAAACATTGCATTTAGAATAGTATCTGAAGTATCAAACAGTGGAGAATAAATTTGAAAAATTGGACACTGAAAACTATGAAATTTGGTTGAAAGGAAGTAAAGACCTAAATAAATATCAAAAACACAAAATTTATGAATTGGCAGAATTAATATTGTTAAGATGACAATACTACCTCGTTTTGCTATTCTGGGTGGATCTTTCCTTAGTCTATCTCACATTTAACCTACAAATTCGGTGTAATCCTTCTCTAAATCCCAACTGACATATTTTGCAGAACAGGAAAAGCCCATCCTCGAATTTAATATACAATAGCGAGGGGCCACAAAGAGACAAGAAAATCTTGACCAAAATTAGAAGATTCATACTGCCTGAGTTTAAAACTTAACTAGGTGGTGTGGTAGTGGCATAAGAATGGACATATAGACAACAGAGTAGGATGGAAAGCCCAGAGACAAAGCTCAACGTCAGTGTATAATGATTTCAACAACTGTACCAAATTCATTCAATGGCAAAGAATTATCTCTTCAATAACTGCTAGCACAACTGGATATTCACATACAAAAGAACAACTTTGCAGTTTTCCATAAAATCTGGATAAGTTCCAATTCCAGGACATGGGATGGTTCAAAGCCTTTTCCACAAGGTCTCCTTCTGCATAACTTTAATTTTATTTATTCAGCAGCTACTTGTTGCAGGGCACTGTGTTAATACAACAGAGACAGAGGTGACAGACACAGATGCAGAACCTGGCTTGTCCTGTTACATTCTTGGGGGTGGGGAGATGGAAAGGACTGGAAAGAGACAAGTAATTACAACATGAATCAATTCAAACAAATACATCCACTCAACATGTATTTATTAGGTGCTTTCTATGTATGAGAGCATATAAGGTGAGCAGATATGATACTAAACAAGGAAGACACAGTGCTTACAGTCTTGAAACTTGTGTTCCAAGGAAGTAACCCACAGGCGCATTACACACTTACTTACTTTATCTCATTTGTTCATCAGTGATTATCTGCTTAACCCTACTGTGACCAGGCCCTGTGCTGGCCAGGTGCTTGGGGTACCATGTGAACAAAAACGGTCCAAGTCCCTGCCCTCAGGAAGCATACGAGCTAGTGAGAAAGAAAGCTAGTAAATAAAGAGATGCAGATAAAATGTGAATACAGAGGACACACACAGGCTCTCGGAGTGGAAAATAACCAAGAGAGAGCTGCAGGGAGACTGCATGTGCTGGCACAATAGATAGGGAGGTGTCCCTGAGAGAGAAGACAGCGCAGCTGAGACCTACGGAATAACAACAGCTAATGCTTACACTGCATGTCAGATGTGCTGCTGAGAGCTTTATATATATATCCTCATGCACTTAACTCTCTTAACAACCTCTGGAGGCTGTTAATATTACTTCCAATGCTCATTTTAGGGAGGAGGAAACTGGTGATTTTCTTGAGCTCACAGAGCAAGTAGTGGAACCTGGACTACAATCAAAGCACGCCTGGCTCCAGGCTGTGTTTTTCTAACCATGACACTGCTTAAGAGGAGGAAGACACAGCCACAAGGACACCCTGGAGCTGGTAGTAGGGCCAGTGTTCTAGACTTCGGGTATGTGCAAAGGTCCTAGAGTGGAAAAGCTCTTGGAAAATTTGAGAATTCAAACTGGTACTCCCCCTACTTGCTGCCCTCATGCCTATGGGCAAGAAAGACACAAGAGAAGGGCAGAATGGTTGGAGGGCACTGGAAGGCCTGGGAGGGCGAACAGTAGGGGAGTATCTCTCTGTTCCCCTGGGGACTGCTGGATGGCTTGTCTTAGCCTGGAGCAGACAGTCTTGCAGGGATGTTACAGCTACCAGAAAGGAACTTTAGAGAAAGAACAGAAGGTGAGAGAGAAAGTAAGAAAAGTTAGGGTAATGCCTCTTATTTCTCATTTGCATACGATTGTTCTTGTCTGGGCCTTTTGTTCTGGTACCATTATCAACAGATCCTTCTTTCAATCTCAAAAGTGTTTAGTTTTGAATGAAAAATAATCAAGACACCCCAGTCAAAGGAGATTCAAGGAAATTTTGCTGTTCTGGGTAGATCTTTCCTTAGACTATCCCAGACTTAACTACAGCAAACATCACTACATTTGGAGTTGGGATGAAGACAAGGAGTTCCACAGCACTTGGTGGCTCAGGGTCTGGCCCACAGGTGGCCCTCAGCCATGCCTACAGAGTGACATGTTCACAACAGCAACAGCATTCAGTACCTCGTTTCTCCCCTGTGTAGGGGACCAGGTCTTCTCGGTCCTTAAACTCCTTGGCTTGCTTTTCCAAGTGATCCAAGAGCTCCTCCCTTTTAAAGGGCCCTGTGGGCGCCTTGGTGGTCTGATCCTTCTGCCTCAGGCCCGCAGGCAGCAGTGCATTCTACGATGGATGTTGTTGGGGGCAAGAGAAAGAGGAAAAGAAAGAAGAGAGAGAGAGAGAGAGAGAGAGAGAGAAAGAGAGTGGTCAGCTGAAGAAGGCTTACAATTCTGAAACTCATTATGGACGAGCAGGGACCTCAGAGCTATGGAATCCATCCCAATTCCTCCTTTTACATGCAAAGAATTGGAAAGCCCAAAATGGACAGGGGCTGCCCCAAGTCATAGCACAGACAAAGAGCAGGTGTTCTTGCCCCTAACATTTTAAAGGCAAGGGATCAAGGACGGCTGGCATCGGCAGAGCACGCAGGGCACTCAAAACCACTGTTGAGAGGTAGATGGGGTTAAGCTCATGATCAGAGGTACAGAGATATTTATATCAGTTGTGTATCAAGAGGCTGGAAAAGGAAGCTAAAGGAGTTGGGGTGGGGCCCTGGATGGAGATCATACATCAAGAGGCAGAACCCTACCCCCAAATCTGGAGAAAGGCCCCCCAGGAGCGCCAGGTGGGCGAGGCACTCTCACAGCAGCCCCCGTGGCTGCCTTTTAGCCTGCTGTGGGACTGTTCTAGGGATGCTCCGGCTGTTAAATATTTTGAATGTTGCCCCTGGAGATGGGTCTCTCTCAAGAAAGATAGCATCCACCAACTGTTGTGATCTCTTCTTCAAACATGGGCAGGCGACTAGGTGTGGGTTTACTACGAAAGCAGTTTCCTAATTAGGGTGAACTTTAGTAACCCAGTGAGCTTCACTTTAACTCAGCCCCCAAAACCCTTAAGAGTCAAAGCTACAATGATGTTTAGAGATCATCTAATGTATATATATATATCTTCCCTTTGAGGGGAAACAGAGGCTCAAAGCAAGAAAAGATTTGCCTGAGGAATTTCGGGGACAAAATCCAGTGTCTTTCCTCAGATCTGGGGGAGAGGAATCTTCTCCTCTACTCCTTGTGCTCCTCCTGTCCCCAGGCACTTGCAGAGCTAGAGGAGCACAGCAGGAGGCAGGTACACAGCTTCTTGCTATATCCTCAAACTGGCTAAATTAGAGAGTCGTTCTACCTCAGATCTTGATAGCATCAAAGAGAAAGGGAATGAGAGGCATATGGAGATGGCTGTGTGCCTGGCACCCCAAGGTATGACGCCTGGGAGGGAGGCAGGACCCACCATTTGTGTGTGATTCTTAGTTTTCCCACGATTTAACCCCACCCTTCGTTTAAGGAAGAGTGGTGACTGCAAAGAGGGAGATCGGGGTGTGACCTACGTTTGGGGAAGGCTGCTGGTGACCAGGGCCCACAGAGTACAAAGTCAAGATAAAGGGCTTGAGGTCTGGTGCTGGGATTTGTGAGAGTACATTTAGGGCCCCAGTCAGGAGAGACTGGAGAACCGGAGCATTTAATGAGAAGACAATTAGGAGGCAGAAAATCAATCCTTGACTGATTTGGGGGTGAGCACAAGGAGTGTAAGTGAAACTTCACACACCCCTACTTTCCTTAAACAGGTGTCCTCAGGTATTGTCCACCATGACAGATGGACCAGGACAATGATGCCCCTGGATGAGCCAAGCTTCTGTAGATGGGGCTGCCTGAGTGTGTCCCCCCCCGCCCCACGCAGGGCACTTGGTATGGCAAAAGTAAATGACAGTGTTCTTCACTGCTCTGCAAATGCCTGGACGTGATTACGGTGCCCACAATAAATACTCTGGCCTCTTTGTGACATAACTGCATGGCCTGAGCCCCAACATGTAGTAATAATGATACAACTCTATGACCTTCGACAAGTCCCCTAATCTCCTGGTGCGGTAGGCTCCATGCCAGGAAAATGTGGATAATGAAGTCACCACCTCATAGACATTTTGAGGCAATTAAGTTAGAAAACTCGGGAAGAGGGTTCAACCTGGTGCCTGCTGCAGGAGGCAGCCAGGGATGATAGCGCCCATTGCGGTTGTTATATAACCGGACCAAACGCACTTAAGCAAGAGACTGGCTGTCCGAATATGTAGGTAATAGAGAACACATTATCCAAATATATTTTAAAATTTTAAAAATCCAAACACACAAATACAAAACGAATTAAGTCCTGAAAGCAAGTGTTTCTGTTTTCCCAAACTGCCCATGTTTCTGGGGCCCCACCAGGAAATTCCTAAGATTTTTGTCACCATAGAGGGGTTTGATGGTACTGAGGAATTCTGGCCCCCAAAAGGCTCAGTATTGCGATTAAAGAAATCCATGAGGTTTTTTCTGGAATCTACTGGTACAGGCGATTGGTTTAGATAAAGCAGGATTTCACAGCTTCGGCACAAGAGGCACCTTGTGCTGGACATGTCCTGTGGAGGCTGTGCTGAGCCTGTAGGACATTCACAGCCCCTCTAGTTCCTATGTCACGGATTCCAGTAGCACCACCTCCCCAGCTGTGGCAACCAAAACTGTCTGCACACGATGCCACACGTCCTCTGGGGGGCAGAGTCATCTGACTGTCAACTAATGCATTGAACAAAAACCATATCATTATAACAGGGAAATAAAAAACTGTTTGATATATTTCAAAAATATTACTTATGCAACCTGTTAAGATACACCTTCTTTTATTTAAAATTTGTTGAAAGGAATTAACCTTTGATAATACAAAAATATGAAAAGTCTTCTTAAAAAACTAATTTGTAGTTTAGCAATTTTTAAAAGTAAATATTGAGCATAACAGGTTCAGTGAGAGCCAGAAATTCTTTTCCTTCCATTAAATGGTATATTAATGAAACAGCACACCATTCTCAATTAAAATAAAAGAATTTGCCTATTTTTAAAGTTCCTTATTACTATTATAACTTGTTTTCAAAAACAGTATGTGAACTTACAAGTATATAAATTTTAACTCAAAATGGATCAAAGACCTAAACATAACCACTACAAATACAAAATCCTTAGAAAAAAAGCACAGACATAAATCATAGCAACTCTGTATTATGAAATGGTTTCTTAGATATAACACAAAAACAATAAGCAACAGAAGAAAAAAATAGATGCCTTGGACTTCATCATAATTAAAACCATTTGTGCTTTAAAGGATACTAGTGAAGTGACAGAATGGAAGAAAACACAGTATTTGTAAATTGTGTAATCTGATAAAGAGTCTAGTATCTAGAACACATAAATATCACTTATGACTCAATAAGGAGAATAACCCCATTTAAAAATGGGCAAAAGATCTGAATAGCTAGTTCTTCAAAGGACATATAAAAATGTCCAATAAGCACAAGAAAAGACACTTGGCATCACTAATTGTGAGAGAAATGCAAACTGAACCCAGAGTGAGAGACCCCCTGCCAGCCCCTGGGACAGTCAATATGAAAATGCAGGTAATGCCAAGGGTTGGCAGGGATGTGGAAAAACTGGGACTTTATACACTGCCCGGGGGGATGTAAAATGAATGGGCCCTTTGGGGAAGAGTCCATCAGGTTCTGAAAAACTCAAGTTTCCGCAGGATTCGGAAATCGTTCTTACGGGTGAAAGAGAATTAAAAACATGTGTGTCCAAACACTTGTTACCTGAACACTCACAGCAATGCTGTTTATAAAAACAAATCAAATGTCCATCGCACATTCATACAGATGAATGTTACTCAGCCGTTAAAAGGAGCAAAGCACTGAAACATGAATGAACCCTGAAAGCATTGTAAGTGAAAGGAACCAGATACAGACAGCCTTATATAACATGAATCTATTTATAGGAAATGTCCAGAAGGGTAAGTCTGTAGGGATAGAAGGTAAAGTAATAGTTGCCTGGGGCTGCTACTGTCCTCCCCACCCCCTTTCATGTACTAAAGCCCTAACCCCCGGTGTGACTGTATTTGGACACGGGGCCCATGAGAAGGTGGCTCAGGATAAGCGAGGTCATCAAGACTGAGTCCTGAACCCAGAGGGTTAGTGTCCTTAAAAGCTTGCTGAGTGGCATCCTTCTCCCAACCACCTGACATGAAAGGACACAGTCAAAGGCAGCCACCAGTGAGAAGACAGGAAGAGGTCCTCTGCCAGAGGCTAAGCTTGCCAGGCCCTGATCGTGAATTTGCCATACTCCAAAGCTAGGAGAAAAGTTTCTAATGTTTAAGCCACCCACTCTGTGGCATTTTATTATAGCAGCAGCCTGAGCTAACTAATACAGCTGGGAAAGATGGGAGAGGGGCAGTGACAGGTAATGAGTACGAATCCTCCACCTCCCTGCAATGCTGGGGATTGGACTCCGGGCTTCACACATAGTAGGCAGGAGTCTGATCACTGAGCTAAACCTCAGATCTGTTTTTATTTTGAGACCAGTCTTGCTAAGTTCTCTAGGTAGGTCTCGAAACCTGTGATCCTACCTCAGCTGGGATTACAGGCATGTGCCAACGAACTCGGCTCACTGTCCCAATCTTAAAATGTGCAAGAGGTGAATGAATCCACTGGACAAGCACCTTCTAAGAGTGAGTTCAAAGGCCCATGTCAATCTGGTTCCAGCAGAACAGTCATTGCTCCGCTTTAGGGAATCTGCAGGCTCGTGCTTTAGTCGTTCGTACACCCTTACACCGAAGACAGGTTGGTTATGAGTGAGATTTGCTTTGGGAAAGAGCTTTGCATATAAAACCCAGAAAATCTTCAAATCCTTACACACAGCTCCTGTGAGGAGGTCAGAGACTTACGTCCAGGTGAACTCTTTATTTTCTGACTGAGAAATTAGTGTTTCAAGGAGAAGGAATATCTGACAGTCTCTGATCTTAGCCTAAAATTATAGCCGCTAGACACCGGGGAGTAGTGGGGATTATTCCACGCTGGAGCTTTCGTGCCCTCACATTACCCATCTCCATTGGATTGTTGACACGTAGGAATGTGGGTGGTGTTAGCTGATCTGCCTATTCACATGTAAAATCTCTTGATTTAAAAATATTATATGTAGTGCAAACATCTTCAAAATAATCCTCAGGAAAATAAAACACATTTACAAATCAGACTTCGGTCCTCTTTGGGCTCCCATTTTGTCTCA